CGACGCGGGAGGGAAGCCGTGCGGGGCTGCGCTCACCCGCCGTTGAGCCCTTCTAGTCGCGGGGGAAATGCTTTCTGAAAGCGGCTTGTTTTTGAAGGGTGTGCTGCTGGGAAGCGCTGTCTGTGTCTTGATCGCTGCACTAGGACACGTGGGGATTGGTTATGGGCCTAGGAGGGACCGCCACAAGCATCGGCACCTGCAGGCCCCTAAGGAAGAAGGCATCTTGAAAACCGCAGGGGATGAACGCGCGGAGCCCAGCAAGAGCTCCCGGGTATACTGCGTCGTCCTCGTGAGGCCCAGAGATGTGAGTCTTTGGGCTGCAGTGAAGGAGACCTGGACCAGACACTGTGACAAAGCGGAGTTCTTCAGTTCTGAAGAAGTTAGAGTGTTTGAGTCAGTCACCTTGCACACAGACTCCATGTGGTTGATGATGGGCAGAGCTTGCAAACACGCCTTTTATAAGTACAGAGACCGTTACAGCTGGTTCTTCCTTGCACGACCCTCAACGTTTGCTATTATTGAAAACTTAAAGTATTTTTTGTTAAGGAAGGATCCATCACAACCTTTCTATCTAGGCCACACTGTAAGATCTGGAGACCTCGATTATGTGGATATGAAGGGAGGCATTGTCCTAAGTATTGAATCAATGAAAAGACTCATCAGACTTCTCCTTTTCCCTAAAAAGTGTTCTGAACTGGGAGCGATGATTTGGAAGATGTCTGAAGACGAGCAGCTAGCAGTCTGCCTGAAATCCGCTGGAGTGTTTGCAGGAAATGCAGAAGATTCTGAAGGAAGAGATATATTTAATACCAAATCTGTTAAGCTTTTAATTAAAGAGGCAATGGCTAATCAAACCAGCCTGGCAGTAGAAGGATGTTGTTCAGATATGGCTGTTACTTTTAGTGGACTGACTCCTAGTCAGATGCATGTGATGATGTATGCGGTATACCGTCTTAGGCCATTTGGGCATATTTTCAATGATGCGTTGGTTTTCTTACCTCCAAATGGTTCTAACAATGACTGAGAAATGAAACAAAAGCATGTATATGATCGCTGTATAGGACATGTGTTGTCATTATCTGTAGTCACAACTACATATCCAACACAGCAATATGTGTCTTTTTTTTTTTCTCTTTTTCAGTTTGGTGACACTGGTTGAATCTCACATTAAAATTTAGTAGTACATTTTTAAATAGGGTGGGTTTTTTCCTTAAAACATATATGAAAATTTCAAACATGTTGGAAAGATGTCGTAAGAATAATTTTGCAAATCAAACATTTACAAATAGCTTTATGTGATGAACTAAGCTATGGACATTAAAATCTGTGGCACATATTTTTGCTGATTGGTTAAAAAATGTAATATGTCTTTTTAGCTTTCTAAGATATGCAGATGAATCTCTAGTTGTGAATTTGTGATTCAGGTAAAACTTTTAGCTGTGTTTCCATTACTTTTAATGTTGGTTTATGTTCTAAGCCTCTGCAAGTGCCAATGACTTGGCTTTCTCAAAATACACAGCCAACAAAGGAAATGTTCCCAACCAATGTAAAAGTGGAAGTTGAAATCTATCCTTGAGAGACAAAGTGACAATTACAGAATTTAATAATTTTCCTGGGAGCTAATCTAGTGGCATTCCTCAGCATACAGAATTTCAATGTAACTCTCTATACTTCTCTGTGCAGATACTGAAATTGGAGTGGTGACTATGAGGAATGTCATGTCATTTAACTGTGTTGTTCCCCAGTTAATCAAGCTCTCAGCTGTGACTTGGATAAAACTATATCAGTTGAGATTTATTTATTCTTGCTAGGCAAATGAGTTTTGTGGCAGTCTCCTTTGAAACACTTCTTTTGGCAATCAGACAGTTTCACTTACCTGAACTGAGTCCTAGTTTTGTTTACCTGTTCAAATTCTGAAGTTTTCCAAATATTCGAAATGGTTTTGGTTTGGAAACCTTAACCTCACCATTCCCTTTGGATTACTATACCATTTACCTAATTTCAATGCCTACCCAGAAGCTTTATCCAGTGGTGAATACAATAGCTCCTGTGCTTATAAATGTGTGAAATACTTGAAGCTGACTTGTCTTGTAATTGGGCCTGCACATGTTGTATTAAGTCAGATTCATAAGGCCCCATTGGGTGTGAGACCATGGCATTTTAGAGATCAGCATTTCCTGTAGCTGGGCTCATGATGTTAACGGTTTCTCACAGCTTTTGAAAACCAGAAAGAAATTCCTCAAGAGGACCTTGGGCCTCAAATTATTGATCATCAGAGTACTGTGTAAAAACCTTTTTTAAAAATTTATCTGATTTTCCTTATTGGAGCTTTTGGTTAAAATGGTTATTTTGAATATTAATAAACCTTTTTATTAAGCAACCTAATATGTAGTCTCAGATGCAATTACTACAAATCAAATCATGTTCACTGTGAGTCCAATGATAAACAGTATCTCACTGACTGTAACACCCAGTTTATAAGTGTCACTTTGCCCCCAACACCAATATATTAAATTTCTACTATATCACATTTGGTTACATTAGTGTATCAGGGTATAGTCATAATAAATATATCAATGAATGCATCCCATTGTTTGATTTCCTAATGGGTGCAAACATAACAATTGCTTTTAAATCAAATTGATGCTCTTGATTATATTTTATACACAAGTATTTCTTTATAAAATGTTGGTTGTCTTAAATAACATGCTATCTCCTTGAAAGTATTTGTACCAAATCTTATAGATAAAATCTGAATCTGTAACATAGAAAATAGTACTGAGCTCATGGTTACAGATTTGATCACCATGCACTCAGTAGCCAAAAAGTGTAACTCTAACCTCACTCTGTTACTTGGGGGGAGAGTTGGAAAGAATGAAAGTCTAATGGAAATTGATCATGATTGTGAATATATTTTACATATGGCTAGTGGCTACCATATTGGAAAACCCAGGTGTAACAAATTCTGGAATTGTGAGACTCACTGATTGACATACAAATGAGAAAAAACTTGGAGTTTCTTCTAAAAGTTGTATTTATCTTCTGGTTGTCTTGAATACAGTGGAAACTGAAACCTGACTTTTAGAAGGCCTGAGGATCTCCTTACACAAGTTCAATGATTAACTCTTCTTTCTCAAAATTAAAAGACTGGATTTGGATGGGGGGGGGGGGAAATACTGCCCTACACTTTTGTTTTTCTTGTTTTCTGTATATTTCATCTGACTTATGTGACATTGAGTTGAACTCTGGAAGGTTTGAACTTGATTTTTCCTGGTGTAAATTTCCTCCTAGTCTTAAAATTATATGTCTTTTTTGTTGATATTTAACATCCTAGACCTAAAAATTTTTTCTTGTAAGAATGTTGATGGTTGTTCATGTCTGCAAATGGCCACTTGTCTACTCAGACAAGAGAAGTAATGATTTAGGTTGTAATAATAGAAGGGAGGGAAGAAAAAGACCTGTAAACATATCCAGGAACACAGCACCGCTGTTAAATCCTTTCATGTGAGGAGCTGAGTTGGCACTGTGTTTTTAAAGCTCTGCAGGGGAGGACCTGAACAGTGGTAGAGGGAGCTGATTTCTGGCTGAGGAACAGAAACGCAGCAACACTGAAAATAATGCAACAAATGGACAGGATGACAGGAATGGGGGATTCCTGCCACTGGGGAAGGCCAGCGGGAATCCAAAGTAGCTTTTGATCATGACCATTCATTAGCAAATTAATGCTGAATAAATATTTATTGAATGTGAATAACTTTAAAGACATAACATGCATAAGTCACATAAAATAAAACAAGTATGTCTAAATTAGTTCAGAATTACAAAATTAGTTCAGAATTACAGTGGGGATGAATCCACATTAGCTGAAGGTAGGGACATGTTTCTAGAGGTTACTCTTAAGTTGTCTTTTAAATGTAAGTTATTGATAGCAGGAATCAAGCTTATTTATCCCTGGTGCCTGCTAGGTAGTTAGAAAATATATATTGGGTAAGAGAAGGGAGAGGGCGAGGCAAGAAATGAATCTGTAGAGTTTGTTGGGGGCTAACTGGTACAATGTTAAGGCATTTAATATTATACCATTGCTGAGAGGAGGAATAAAAGGGTATGAAGCTGGGGATAAAACACTATTTTACTTTTCATCTGGTAGAAATATGGAGGGTGACTCCATGGGCTGGAATTTGATAGCAGGGAGTCCAGGGCTGGAATGTAAAAGCAAGGAGTTCAGGTAGAAAACGACTGTGATTATCTAAACAGAAGGATGAAGATTCTCACTGAGTGGCAGTGGAGAACCCTCTCAGATTTTCACGGGTCACTGACCTAGAAGACAAGCTGTAAATTTTACCTTCCATAGCATTTCAATGAAACAGATCTCTTTGTTGAAGTATAAACAAAGTTACCATAATTTAAGAAATATCAGCACCAAGATTTCCACCTATTAGAATGTACCACCTCCTCTCATTTCCAGAAAGTAGTACTTATTTTGTGGTGCTTACATACAGGTCTACTTAGTTGCTTAGGGGTGGGATGGTAAAGAAAGTCTGGCTTAAAGGCTGGGACTAGTAAATATTTGTATGTTTTTGTGGCCTTTTTTTTATTGTCAACCATAATCAATTACATAAAAACCTGCAACAAAACCACGTGCCCATAGCATAATTAAATATGCTTATTTATGGCTGCCTTGGGCATATTTGCATTCACATTTTCTTTGCAAACTATGGGGAAAGACTGAGAATTTTCAAACTACCGTCTCATTTAAAATATATTAAGGAGCCATCTTTTTTATAGTGTCAACTGCCCTCTTTCTAATTCTATGTTTTTTTTTTAAGTACAAAATGTTCTAATATACAACTTTGAGAAACTGGCTAGAGAAAGAAGTGGAATAGATGATGTTTCTTTAAAAGTGCTGCTTTCACAATGAATAAAAAGTACAAGTATGCATAGTGGATAATACAGAAGAGTTAATTTTAAATAAATGTAACTGTCTAACAACCAGAAAATGAAAGCAGACTATTTTAAACACAGCAAAATGTACTGAATAAAAGAAATGATTGTAATGGATGTCAATGACCAGACATGAGCATATATGTTTAAGTAATTCCACTGTTCTCTCAATATAAAAAAATTTCAAAAGTGGCAGGGCTCAAGGGAACACCCTCGAAAAACAATATTGCTCATCTACAAGGTACTTCTTGTTCATTTGTTTGTACAGTTCTGCATCTTGGGAAAGAGAAACATGATATTATGCCTTATATATGAGAACAGTTTCAAATGTCAATAAAACATTCAATAGAACTAACCTTCAGTGTTGGACCTCAGGGGATAGGGAAAGGTGAAGGATACTTCTTCAGTCTTTCCATTCAATATCAATTGATAGATTTATTGAGCACTATTGATGTATTCAAGAGTCTTGTGCTTCCCTAAAGAATAATTCTATGAAAAATAAATACCTATAGAAGGTTTGAATTGGATGAGTGTTCCCAGAAACACATTTATATAATTAGAAAAATATTTTATATCAAAATACTCTCTTCTTAAACCAAAATGTCACTGAGTACTTAATAATTATGGTACAAACTGTGAGGTAAAATTTTGTACCCTGAAAAATACAAAAAAAAAAACCTTTTATGTTATCTTTCCCATAATGTATTTTATATTAACTCTAAAGTCTCATTATACTATTTGCTATGTATCCATTTGCTATGTATCTATCAAACATTTTTTATCTTTATTGTTGAAAATATTACAGATGTCCTCTTTTTACCCCCATTGACCCCCTCCACCCCACATCCACCCCACCCTTAGGCCTTCCCCAGACCAATGTCTGTGTCCCTGGGTTATGCTTATAAACATGTAAGTTCTTTGATTAATCTCTCTCAGCCCACTCCCCCATCCCTACCTTCCCTCTGAGATCCTTCAGTCTGACCCATGTTTCTATGTCTCTGGATCCATTTTGTTCATCAGTTTATTTTGTTTATTATATTCCACATATAAGTGAGATCATGTGGTACTTGCCTTTCTCTGATTCACTTATTTCACTTAGCATAATACTCTCCAGTCCCCTCCATGCTGTGCCAAAGGATAAAATATCCTTCTTCTTTACAGCTGTATAATATTCCATGGTATAAATGTGCCACAGCTTTTTTGTCCACTTATCTACTGATGGACACTTGGGCTGTTTCCAGATCTTAGCTATTGTAAACTACACTGCTATGAACATAGGGGTGCATAAGTTCTTTGCAATTGGTGTTTCGGGTTCCTTAGGATACATTCCTGGGAGTGGGATCACTGGGTCAAATGGCAGGTCAATTTTTAACTTTTTGAGGAAACTCCTTACTGCTTTCCATAGTGGCTGGACCAGTCTGCATTCCCACCAGCAGTGTACTAGGTGCCCTTTCTCCACACCTTCGCCAGCACTTGTAGTTTGTTGATTTGTTGATGGTGCCATTCTGACAGGTGTGAAGTGATACCTCACTGTGGTTTTATTTTGCATCTCTCTGATGATTTGTGACTGAGCATTTTTTCATATGTCTCTTGGCCATGTGTGTGACCTCTTTGGAGAAGTGTCTATTCAGGTCCTTTGTCCATTTTTTAAT